AATCAAAAAAAAATAGAAACACACACCCGCACTCACGTTGATCAATCAAAAAAAAATAGAAACACACACCCGCACTCACGTTGATCAATCAGAATTTTAGAAACACACACTCACACTCACACTCACATTGATCAATCAAAAAAAAATAGAAACACACACCCGCACTCACGTTGATCAATCAGAAAAATAGAAACACACACTCACATTCACATTGATCAATAAAAAATAGAAACACACACACACTCACACTCACATTGATCAATAAAAAATAAAAACACACACTCACACTCACGTTGATCAATCAGAAAAATAGAAACACACACTCACACTCACATTGATCAATCAAAAAATAGAAACACACTCACATTGATCAATAAAAAAATAGAAACACACACACTCACACTCACATTTATGAATAAAAAATAGAAACACACACTCACATTTATCAATAAAAAAAGAAACACACACTCACATTGATCAATAAAAAAATAGAAACACACACACACACACTCATATTTATCAATAAAAAACTAGAAAAACACACACTCACATTGATCAATAAAAAAAATAGAAACACACACTCACATTGATAAATCAGAAAAATTGCCGTTTTTGCTGCAAAGCAAGTGCTTATCTTTGTGATAAGATCACTTTTATGTTAGGCTGGGAGTGTACGTTTGTTATTGTCTCGGACTGTGAATTCGAGGGTTCGTGGCCTTGCCTCATAAACGCACATCGCACTTTGGGCTATGGTTGCGTTATAACAGTGATACCAAAATCCCACTATTCTGTCAGATAAAAGTAGCTCAAGAGTTGGCGGAGGGGGCCGTTAACTAGCTGCCTTACTTTAGTCTCTCAGTTGAAAATTAGATACGATTACGCACGGATAGTCCTTTGTTTCGCGTTGTGCGAACATTCTGAAACAAACAAAAAATCTGATGTCACATGTCGATAGCATGTAAGACTAATAGGCTAATTACAAAAATAACTCTAGCACAAATGTAATGTCTTTGTTTGTCGTTAAGGCAAAATCTGAACAATAGATCATCTATGCTGTGTCCACCGTAGAAATGGAGCCCCGAATTTTAGCGTTGTAAGCCCTCAAGCCTACTGACGAATCATCGGGGGACACACAGGTTATATAATTATAACATTGTAACAAAATATGAACTATGACGTCCAATAACGTTTGTTTCTTTTTGAATTTCGCGCAAAGCTACACGAGGGCTATCTGCGCTAGCCGTCCCTAATTTAGCAGTGACTAGAGGGAACTGCCAACTCTTGGGCTACTCTTTTACCAACGAATAGTGGGATTGACCGTCAAATTATAACACCCTCACGGCTGAAAGGGCGAGCATGTTTGATGTGACGGGGATTCGAACCCGCGACCTTCATATTGCAAGTCGAGCACCCTAACCACCTGATAATGCTATGATAAAGTATAACAAAATTAGGCTTTAATATAAAGGGCAAAACTCCTCTGTAACATACCGATAACTTTACTAGAAAGGGTAAAACAGCTTTGTAACATACCGTTAACTTTACTAGGGAGGGTAAAACACCTTTTTTGCATACCAATAACTTTACTGTAGAGGGCAAAACACCT